GTAGGACGGATGTCGCCGCCGGCCGCGCTTTGGGGCATTCCGGGGACGGAGTAGGTGGGGTGGGGGTGGATGAATGGATGATTGTTGAATTTTACCATCTTCATATATATATATATTGTACTTCTTACGCTGAACTAGACTCCCATGCGCCTTTGGCAGCTTCACCTTTGAATAGCGAGACACAGCATCCTCTCCATCCCCTACATAACCACCCTTTCTCACAACCACACCTCGAACAAACAAGCATACCCTCCCACACCCACACCTTCCAAAGAAAAATTTCAAAAACTAAACACCAACCCACCATGCACAACAAACTAACCAATGCTCAATTTTTATTCCTTCACGCATCCAATGCTGCTACCTGATGCTACCTGATTACCCCCCAAAAAAAATACTAGTCACAGGGAAAAATTCAATATTGGAATAAAATAAACAATGCTAGGAGAAAATGAGGATGGGAATGGTAATGTAGAAACTGGGAATTCAGACCTCCAGGGTATATAGCCGTTTTTGACGAGGAAGAAAGCAAAGGAAAAAACGCCATGCTGTGGTCAAGGGAGGGGTGGGTTTTTTGGGGGGGCATGGAGGTTTCTGCGTGCATGCTCAGAGTCGATTGAGGATGGGGAGATCTAGGGAGAGAGGGATTATGCGGGGGAGTTAATATTTCTTCTTCTTTCTTTTCGCTAGATGCGATGTTGATCGAGTTGTGTGTTGAAGAAGTCGGGTGGGGTGTATAGCTAGCGAGGGTGTCCGATTGTGGTACGGTTATGACAGGGTGAACTTGGGCGTGGGAAAAGAATTGTTGCAAGGGGGATTTTCCCTTTAGTTGATGGATCCCCCGCCTGCACGGCGTAGAATTTCCTTTTCCCCATCTTTGCCTTCGGCGCAGAAAGGCGCTGCCGTTGTATCTGCGCACTGTCACGCTTTCCTCATCCCGCTCTTTTCTCTCCGACAAGAGCCCGAATGAAGGCAGTCAGTAGCTGACCTTCTCCCACATGCACTGCTTGCACATACCCTGGCTGACAGTCTCGACCCTGTGATCTCGTATGGTGTCGGGACATGGGCGGCCGAGCCGCAGCGTCTCGGCTTCCTTGCATAGTCTTAGGTAGAGGCCGTCGGCTGGATTGGGCTGCGGTATCCAGTGGCTGCATTTGTATAGGGTGTAAACGAAGTAGCACATGTTGTCGCCCTTCCCCCCCGTCCAGGCAGAGGCGTTGGCTCACTGGCTTTGTATGCGTGGAAGAGAGATGGATGATCGGGGCCGGGGGGCAAGTTTGGACGAGGATCCGATTGCCTTGCTGTCGCTAGTTTTGCATATGGAGACTCGGCTGATGTGGAGCTGTGTGAATGAGTGTGATGTCGAGATCGCGTGTGGGTCATAAGATGATGAGTCAAAGTGGACAGCTTAGATGCTTGAGTGCCTGTGAGTCTGTGGGTGCGCAAAGGTGGAGGTTGGTTTTTTTTTGCTCTGACTTGCTCGGCGACTATGCCGCGACTTTGCAAACAGGATGGAGCCAAAGATGAGTATATGTCGAACCCAAAGCTGTAATATCGGTCTCCCGATCCGACCCCAATGTCGTCAAGATCCTCTTCCTTCCGCAACCTAAACCTCAACCGCCTCTTTGCGCAACGATGCGAGGTTGCATCAACGCATGCAAACTGTACTTTAATGACTCGATCATGCGCCCAAAGTCTCGGTCCGTCCCCGTACCTATCTGGAACAGGAGCTGGCGTTCTTATTCACCGGTACCCTTGGAATGTCGAAGTGGACTGTGATTGCAACCCGTGATGAGATTTTGATGGGGCCGCGACAAGGGAAGAAGGAATCAAGGAGAAGACGCAGACGCGGACCCAGAGACGAGCGCGAAAAGGAAATAAAGCACCATTAGGCGGCAAAGGAACCAGTGGCACACACCGCTCAAACCTTGAGAATTGCATTTTGACATGTTGGTTCCCATGTCTCGAAAAAGCAAAGGCGCCTTGGAACGCAAGTCTAACGTCGCACGGCCTTAACTTACCTCCCTCCTCTACGCTACCCTACTCGCACCTCTTCCACCCTTACTGCGGGGGGAGGGGGGTGCATATCCCTTTTGTTACAAGGCGATCTTACGAGAGACCCTATCATAGAACTGGTAGTTGGGTGGAACACTGAAGGGAGGAAACCTGGGATGACGTCCATTCAGACGAGCATCCGATCCGCTGGTTTGCCCTTCCTTTAAGCGACCTTGCCCCCCCCCCCCCTCGTTTAAACAGACGCCGTGTATCTCTTCCGCTGCAGTCGGAGAATTGGATGCGTCTTTGTCGAGATGTTGGGGAGAGGGACAAAGACCAAGATGGAGATGGGAGAGAGGGGTGGGAGGTAGGGGAATTGGCTCGTTGGACGTGGGATAGGGGGTTGCTAGGCATCTGCGCTAGGCCACACTCTCTGGTTGTCGGTACCTAGGTAGGATGCGAGGGAATCCAGTGTTGGTGTGTTGGTGCCATCAAATTCGATTGTCCATCCCAACGGTGCCCTTCCAATACCACTCGACTGGTTCACGGCCCGGGGTTGCGCTAGGCGTCTGTCTCGTAATGGCGATGAAAATCATCCAAGATATCCACCCGTGTTCCGGATCGGGGGGTGGCGCTATCGCGCGGAAGGTTTGTACTGCAGCTGTCAAAAGTGCATTCTTGCGCCTGGTGGTATACAATGGACGGTGGACCTGACGAGAAGGGAAGGCAGGTGGAACGCTGGGTGGATAGGGTTGGATCGTGTGTAACATGGCCATCCCAGTGCTAGACTTTGCTCGAGAGCGGTGTGGAGGATATGATCTGGAAGCTTGTCATGGCTTTGCATTTGCCAAGCCAATCTCCTGATTCCTCGATCCCCAGCTTGCTTTCTCAGCATCCAAGTCCCACTATCGACCGCCTTTTTGTTAGCCAGGAAGCAAGCCAGTGGATACGCCTCTGTCACCCTCTTGTTAGCCAGGAAGCAAGCCAGTGGATACGCCTCTGTCACCCTACCTCTTGCGCCAACCCTCCCTTTCTCCTCTCACCGTCCACCTCCTTTCCACCCTTTATACCTACATTCTGATCAAAGCTCAGCATTGTTCGTCTGACCTAGCCCGTCATTCTATCCATTGGAACGCCTTGTCGTCAATTTGTGCATACCCGTCTCGTACTGTTTCCGATTCAAAGATTCCCAGCTTTGACCTGGCTAACCAGCGTGACTCTTCTTGCCAATGCCGCGAACCCAGAGTCCAGAATCTACATGTCAAGAAGGACGTGAGCTATTCTACTTCGTTGTAGTCCATCTTCACAGATCAGACACTAGTGTTTGAGTGATATGGCGCAGTATGGGGTGGACGCCACGGCTGGACCTTGGATCACGAATGTTCAATCAACACAAGGGGCGGTCAGGTACCATCGCTATCACCAATCACTAACCAACAGAACTGCACCACATCAGCCAAACCGTCCACTCTGTGAACACGAAGCCGGCGTCGGGAGAGCTAGTCGACAACCCATCCGCATTCAAAACACCCAATCCAGCGCCTTAAAACCCCAACACATGCATGCAGGTCCTTGAAGCAAGGCCGCAGACTCTGGTTCCCATGGCTAGTTTCTTTTGACTCGCGTCTGTGTTTAGCTGTACGTACCCGAGACCAGAGGATAAATGACATGATATGCTGCGATGAAACAAGACCAGAGGGTGAGCTAAAGTCGTGAACAAAGCAGCGAGACTGCCGAAATAAATGTGGGAATTCGAGAGAAATCATTGTCGGTTACAGAGCTCGTGTTTGATAGAATCTACAAAAAAATCTACACCAATCTACAAAAAACATCAAACTACTCTACGTAAAACGCCAAACAGGCTCGCAAACATAATACAACATACATCATCATCATCATCATCATCATCCGCATCCCATGCAATCCCACAACAACGCCCCATCACGCCACCCCCTCACCGGCCAACCCCCCCGTCAACCCCTTCATCCTCCTCCCCAAAAGATCATCCTCACTCGCCAAACTAACCAAGCTCTTCCTCCTCCCGCCATCGCTCTTCCTCACCCTACCCCTACCCCCGCCCCCCTCTTTCCTCGGCGACGTCTTGCGCCCCTTGTTCAGCACCGTCATCTCCAACGGCCGGTCCTCATCCGCACTACTCGCCGTCCCCGTCCGGCGATGATGGCGCCTGCGAAGCGGGCTCTGCAGGCCCTCGACGGCTTCTGCGAGACCCGCCGTGGCTCCGGAGCCAAAGTAGTCTTTTGGCTGGTGGGGTTGGGGTTGGCGGTGATGGTGGTAGGGTGTGTAGGGGGTATACGGTGTGTCGGCCGTGTCGAGGGTGCGAGTTGGATGGCGGGCCTCCGACTCAAACGCCTCCACTATCCACTCGGCACAGCGCGAGATGACCGTTCAGCCTTCTGGGTAGAAGCCCACAAGTTGCAAGAAACCGTGGCTGATACCAGGAATCAAGTCTACGTTTACCCAGTTCTCCCTCGCAAAAGGAGCCCCGCGCCCCAGTTCTATCCCCAATTCCCTTGGCCTCACCCCATTCTGACCCCTTGGGTTTG